ACAGAATATCGATGATGTTACAGTAGTACCCTCATGAAGAATCTCGTAGTAAATACAGCCGGTGGAGCAGAAGAAAAACGAGAGCAAGTCCTTCTTGGCGTGGCAGCCTCGCTTTGGAACGGGCTCTGGCTTTTGGTCCGACGGCAGCCACTCCAGTTTCCTATCCGGGTTTTCGTACGAGATCCACTTTTCATCCTGAGCAATTATGAAGCTCGCCCAGTCGTCGTTCTTTCTCGATCGAGGAGCTTTTGGCATATATCGACCTCACCGCACGCTCCCCGGTAAGAGACCGCGGAATAATTTCAGGCAGAGCCGCGCGGAAGCCGTCCTTTTCAGAATGCCGTGAATAGTGGATCGAGGAGTAGGAGTCGTCTTCTTCAATTCTCTCAGACACTGGAGAGGAATGGTTCTCACAGAAGCTAGAGCGATGCCGGTGTTGGAAGAGGGAGGGACGTCCGCATCGAGGTGCTTCATCGAGGCTAACTCTCCCACTGCGAAGCGATCGTACCACCTGTAGCAGGTTGCAAGAGAGGGTGCATTGCCACCCATCGACGACAGCAACTCATTCCTCGCTTGAGTGGCGGAGAGGCCAGAACGGAAAAGGTGAGGTAGGATCGATATCGATCAGCTGCTGATTTGATCTGCAAACGATCCTCTAATATCCCAAGCTTTGATCCAAAGATTTGCTCATGGCCTTGCCTTCGCGCGCTACGCATTTTCGAATTGTGGCAGCGATTTTCTCAAGAACTTTCCTGACGCCCTACCATTTCACGTTTTCAAGTCATCACGATATGTTTTTAGACATGTAAAGCACATATTTCACACGAAAGAAGAAAGGATACTGATGTAAGAAAAAAAGGACGTTGGCACGATACTCGCGATACTCCAAAACCTATTCCAAAGAAGTCCAAGGAGGTTAAGATCCCAGGACCTGTCACCCCTTGAAATCAAGCTGCTAAAAAAATTGCCTTTCTGCTGGATGCCTTCTGTTCTTCAACTGCTAATCTTCTTTGAAACACTCGATTCTTGAAACAAGTGAGATTTCATGGGAGAAACTACCGGTGAGTGAGGTAGATGATTTCAATGTGTGAAGGGAACAATTTTTCGTTGTTTCCCCACTGACCACTCTGACCACTCATTAGGAAAGAACTGCTGGGCAAGAAAAATATTTTCTATAATGATATATTTGAAAACACAGCAGTTGTTGGGTGCACGCTTGCAGCACTTACCTCAGTAACTTCTTTGTGTAGTCAATCCTCCTTAGTAATCTTTGTAATGCGTCGAGCAGTTATTAAGGAATTCGTAACAGATGTTTCTGATTGTTCCACAGGCTTTCATTAGCGCCTTGGGAGAGTGTTCAACATCGATGTTGAAGACGAAGAGGGGATTGACATGACACCATTGGAACGGCGTCATTGATACGGCGACACGGACACTCTAATATCCCGTACGGTATACCGTCAACTGTTATCAGTTCCCCCCATCTACCGCCCTACATAACTGTTATCACTTCCTACCACCCACATGTCCCTATCCCCTTCGATATATCACATCTTGGATCAACGTCTTTCCATCGCTTGGAACGGCATCATTAAAAACAGCGCCCGCGATCGACTTTGGCAGGTTTAAGGGTCAGATTTGTTAGAACAGGTGGCAAGTGAAGCATTAATCAAAAAAGTAGGAAAAAGGGTGCAAGAACATGTAATAAGACCCTATTCGATTTAAGGCATACAAGTTCCGCAGATTTTGGGTGAGTTCTCCAAAACACGTCGCCGCCTCGTTGCGGCTAATTCTCATGAGGCCACTACCTAGGTTATCTTATCTAATCTAATTAATCCTCGCTGGCATTGATAATCGATCTGTCTATGAGTTAATCTGTCTATCAGTGTACGAAACAAACGCTAGAAATTTAGCGATTATCAAAGCCAGCAAGGATTGACAACTGTTAACCAGTCGGGGCGGGATTAACAGGACAGGCGGCGTCAGCTTAGCATTGTTGACTCCGCCTTCGTCAATCAATCGATTTCGAGCCGCAAGAGTGGGATGTCCTGCTGTGGTTGTGGGCTCCGGGTCTTGCACAGTGCAGGGTTTTTTTCACCGTTGATAGAGGACGCAGCATTTAATTGGGCGACCCGACCGTTTTGAGACGCCGTACGCCATACTGTCAAATGCTATCACTTCCTTCAGCCCACTAATAATGTTCCTATCTCCAGCCCGACATCATATCTCGGAATAAAAAAGCTGAAATTTTTTGGAATCAAACTGGAGCATTTCTAGCTTTCAGGGCTCTGGACAGGTTATGCATGATCGTGGTCTCTTTTTTCGTGAAAATTTCACAGTGAGCGGCCGAACTAAGGTCTTTTTGATCAGAAATTCTAGATCCGACACTTCCTCTACAGCTGCAAGAGCTGTATTCTTGATTTGATAGCTATGTCATGTATCTTTTAAGCTAAGGTATAGCACTCTTTTGATCTCAGAAAGGGCCAGATCCCACTTCTTTGACCATTGCCCAACCTTAACTAAGACGTTTTTAACTTCTCTTGCCGTCTTCGACTTTCACAATGGTTTAGTAAAGTTTCATATCGTCTGCAAATGCACAACTTTCAACATCAGTTTGTTCAACAGAATGAGTAAAATCATACGTATACAGAGTGGGGGGGCCAAAAAAAGACTTTTCTACTCGTCGACATTCAGAGATAAATAAGTTACACTTTATCAAACTCTGTTTGGATATTATCACCACCAAATTCAACAACACATTGTACACGATCATACTCCTCCACTGCCTTCTGGACGAACGCCATCGAGAGATTTTGCCATGCGACTGTGATTCGGTGCCTGAGTTCAGCGAGGCCTCGATTTCTGTAGACCACCCTGTTGAGCTCCGCCCAAACCGGTAATCGAGGGGGTTGAGGTCAGGGGACACACTTGGATATTCCGTCTTCTTTAGGTACTCAACTCCCTTCGCTTCCAAGTAGGCGAGAGTTCTTCGAGCGCCATGTGCTGGCGCCCAATTCTGTTGCAGTACGAAGTTTCCGCGAGTTTCCCGATATCCTGCCTTCATGCCGTCGATCGTTACAGGCGAGGGCATGAAGGCAGGATATCCTCCTCGAGCTGCTTGATGTAGCAGTCAGCGTCTATCTTCAGTCCAGGTTCCACGAAGAGGATGTCGGTCTTGCCATTCCATGAAATCCCTGCCCATACCATCAGCCCGCGCCGGTTGGTCGATCTTCGGTGACTGCAGTGCGCCGGGACGGAGCTCCTTCTTCTTGAGGGTGGTCCACAGGCGGGTGTTCTTGCTGTCCCGTGCAGGAGAAACCATGAAGAGTTTTTCGTCGCTGAACACGATCCTCCTCACGAACTCCTCCTTCAGCTTCGGCAGTAGGTTCCGGCAGCACTCCAGGCGTTGCTTTCGCTGGACATCGTTCAGGCTGAGTACCCATACCTAAATAGGAGGTGATTAGACGGGATTTCAATGGAATTTCAAGAACCAACCTTGGACACCGATTTGAAGCCTTGGTTCTTCAAAATCCGGCGGACAGACGTGCGAGGGATGTTGGTGCGGTCGACGAGCATCGCCACTGTCATGGTCGGCTCCTGGCAGATTATGTCCCGGACCATTGCGACGTTGTCGGGGGCGCTCGATGTCTGAGGTCTTCCAGATCCATGGTGTCGGTCTCCAGGCAGCTGCCCATGTTTGATTCGATACTGTCTGGAGGTGACCCGAATCCCGTACGTCCTCTCCTGGCTTCATCGGGCGAGGCGGATGGCCTCATATTCTTGTGGCAAATAGGGGTGTATCTACGAGTTGACTTGCTTCACTGCTTTCAAAGACACAATTGACTATGTTCTGCCTGCGTGCGCATGTAATCTTGAGTATTTCTGTGGCCATTAGTTGACTCAGAAAGCTCCAAAGAATGCATTTCTGTTTTTCGAGCTAATCATTTTTCCTCGACGGGTGCTTTAAATTCCCTGAACTTCTTATCTAATTTGCTATTTAATAGTTGAAACTCCATTTCATCCACCGAGCTCTTCGTTTCCTGTGCCCTGTGCCATGCCCGCTCACGCCTCTGGTCAAGACTGGAAAGGTAAGAGGTAGTACTGAATCTCTGAGCGGCTCTACTACAACACCAAAAGCTCGATACAGTTCACGAGAATGGCCAAAAAAGTTCATATTTAGCATCAACCGTGTTTGCACAATGGAGCGAGCCAAGTCTATATTTTCGAGGTAACATAGAATGTTCTCGTAAAACCTTTATTAGAGCCACTCCTAGGGATTACTTCATTCTTGAACATATGAGCATTGATTGCAGCAATAGACGCATGATCGCCGGTACCAGCAGGTGAACATACTTTCAGATTTTTGATCAGGCTCTCATTATTTGACGAAACTAAGTCGAGGATTCTCCCATTTCAGCGCTGCGGTACTGACGAACTGATTCAATGAGTGTACATAGCTCCAAAAAGGTCCGAGCAGGTGGCGTAATTTGATTCAATCGGGAAACAAATGAAGGATCGTCACTTTGATAAAAAGATCTATTCCTCCACCACGTTTGAACAAACGGTCACATCTCATAATACTATAATGACCTAAACCCATGCGGGTAAAAGACGATATGTCCACTGAAGGTTGAGCCATGTCACCGTTATTGCTATGATATTTGGATCCTTTTGTATGATGAGTAAGGAAAGCGGTTCCGAATTTCTACTTATATTTAGATCTGATATTTGCTACAATGCACGAAAAGTTTGAGTCAGAATTACTTAGACACTTGACGTGTTCAGAAGATGTGTTTCAGTGACAGATGAGGTAGAAGGAGGACATGAAAGAGTATAGCTATGAAATTGTTCGAAGAATTTTAATAAGGTGACGTGCGCAGAGCTCAGCAATACGAGATAGCTGAGCTTCAACACTACTTCTGTTAGAGGGTTCGGCAGGAGATCAAGAAGATCTAATATACACTCCTTTCTCAGGGAAAAACCTTAACTTTGGCGCTCTTTCAAGGAGCAAAGACGAGTAGAAATGGTAACAGTACTTTCAGAAAGCGCGGCCTACCGGGAGTAAATCTGGCTATTCTGTAAACGCTATCCGGGTGAGAGTCAAGGAAACGGAACTCATTAATACGACGGATATAGGCCACGTCATAGCAAACAATAATAGAGAGAACTTGCGAGTCGCATTCACTTATACCAGCTATGACTACGGAACGATCGATCAATTAAGTGACAGAGAAGAAGAATCAGAATGATCATTGTTCAGACGAGGAGACTTATCAGACAGAGATTTCTTGAGAAAATCAATTCGAGACATAAGTTTATTTATCTCACTCTGTACCATGCAGTTCTTCTTGAATAACTTGTTTTCCTCCAACAGTCGCTCAGTCCTTGCTGGGACTTCGTTCAGCTCCTTCCTCATTTCGAACAGATAACCTAAAGCCGGCTTCAAATGCGGGGGCAACGACTGATCAGTTGCAATCAGGTCGATTACTCGCTCGAGCTCGTCTACGAATTGGGGACTAATGAGGTCGATCCGATGGCGTTTTCCTCTACGGTCTGAAGGGCATAACTGTCGGTAAATTAAGGAGCCTCCACTATTACAACTAGTAAGAATTACAAATACACCTGATGGGGTGGCTTCTAGAGATCAAAACGTTCCAAGTTACTAAGAAACTCGCTCAAGTTCGCAGCAGAAAGGATCGATGTAAGATCGATCGTAGCACTGGACGGTAAGTTACGAATGAATCCAATATCGACAGTAAATACGGCCAATTAGGGCCTAGGAAGAACTAAGTGAATAAATAGCATAGAGTGAATAGCATGGGTCAAGAATCTCTTTAGATTCGAAGAAAAATAGGTATGATGGGAGTCGACACAGAAACCGACCGCTCGTGCGACCGACCCGCAAAGAATGATACAGAGGTCATCAATAGCCCTGATCACAGTTCTGGCACTTATAAACGGCCCCGAGGACATTTGGCGCGAAAATGGCTCTGAAAACCTTCCCACTGCGTGCGGGTGGGGCGCTGCAAAAACACTCAAGAAATCAACGCTATCTCACTACGTGCCAAGTAAGGTACTTTTATCACCTTATTTTGTGTTGTTCTCGATGCATGCATGGCAGAATTCTCATAAGTTGTGTATACTT